TTCCTATAGCTGGGACTACAGGTTTGTTCCCTCACGCCCAGCTAATTTTTTTGTATTTTTAGTAGAGATAGGGTTTCACCATGTTGGCTAGGCTGGTCCCGAACTTCCGACCTCAAGCATTCCTCCCACCTTGGCCTCCCAAAGTGCTGGGATTACAGGCATGAGCCACCACACCCAGCCCCTTTAGTGTTTCTTGAGTGTAGATCTACTGATGACTTTTTCAGCATTTGCTTACCTTATATTCTTGAGCTCCATAATTTCTATTTCTTTTTATACTTTTTATCTTTTGGTTGATCTTCCAAGACAACTGATTTCATTTAGTTTTCTATGTTCTTATTTCACTTATTAATATTATTCACATGGTTATTTTGAGTTTTTAAAAATAATTTATCTCCATTTCTTTAGGGTTGCTATCTGGATATTTCTTTTTCCTTTCTGGGGCCATAAGTATCCTGATATTTTGTATACATTGTAATCTTTTGTTCAGATTTGAAATTAACAAAAAGCCACCTGTTTCAATCTTTATAAAATGGCATTGGTCTGGGAAATTCTGACACCAATTGATCAGGCTAGAGATTATGGGAGCCTCTCAGACTTGTTCTTGGGATATGTCTTCTCTGGAGTGGTGTTTTGATTTGTTTTGTTTGAGACAGAGTCTCTCGCTGTGTCTCCCAGACTGGAGTTCAATGGTGCAATCTCAGCCCACTGCATCGTCTGCTTCCTGGATTCAAGCAATTCTCCTGCCTCAGCCTCCCAAGTAGCTGGGATTATAGGCACGTACCACTATGCCTGACTAATGTTTGTATTTTTAGTAGAGATGGGGTTTCACCGTGTTGACCAGGGCTAGGATTACTGGCGTGAGCCACTGCGCCCCGCTATTTTCTTAATTACAGAGGTTTTCACATGTTTCCTCTTAAGAGGCTGTAGTTACTTGTTATGTCTGTCGTCCATCTCTGGTACTGCAGTTTCTTGTCTGCTGTAACAATCATTTATTACTGGTTTCAAAACAACCAGCCTGTCGGTCAAAGTATACCATCATTCCATTCAGTACTCTGTCACAGAAGACAGCAACCAGTTTTTTTCAGGCCCCCAAAAGTATGGACACATGTGCCACTATTTTCTTTATTTTATGAGGGAGAAGTCAGAAGTTTACTCCCAAGGGCACCATATATACCATATTGGGAAAAAGGAAGGGCTGTGGTGGGTAAATGGAACACACTTTCCTTCCACTTCTATGGGGCTTATGGCATTGTGCTCACCTGGGGTGCTGCAAACCCTTTGTTGATTTTTAGAGTTCTCAGAAAGGCTTTAAAAAAATTTTTTTTTAAATTGTATGTATTTATGAGGTACATAAGATATTTTGAAACAAGCATGCAACGCGAAATAAGCATATCAGGGAAAATGGGGTGTCCATTCCCTCAAGCATTTATTTTTTGAATTACAATCAGATTATACTATTTAAGTTATTCAAAAATGTACAACTGAAATTATTTTTGACTATGGTCACCCTGTTGTGCTATTAAATAGTAGGTCTTATTCATTCTTTTTAAGTAATTTCTTGCACCCATTAACCATCCCCACCTCCCACTCACCCAGTACCCTTTCCAGCCTCTGATAACCATTCTTCTACTCTCTATCTCCATGAGTTAATTGTTTAGACTTTTAGATTCCACAAATAAGTGAGAGCATGCAATGTTTGTCTTTCTGTGCCTGGCTTATTGTACTTAACATAGTGACCTTCGGTTCCATCTATGTTGTTGCGAATGACAGGATCTCATCCTTAAGGATGAATAGTACTCCATTGTCTATAAGTAGTACATTTTCTTTCTTTTTTTCTTTTTTTCTTTTTTTTTTTTTTTAGACAGAGTCTTGCTCTGTCGCCCAGGCTGGAGTGCAGTGGCGCGATCTCGGCTCACTGCAAGCTCTGCCTCCAGGGTTGACACCATTCTCCTGCCTCAGCCTCCCGAGTAGCTGGGACTACAGGCGCCGGCACCACACCCGGCTAGTTTTGTTTTTGTATTTTTAGTAGAGACGGGGCTTCACCGTGTTAGCCAGGATGGTCTCCATCTCTTGACCTCGGGATCTGCCCGCCTCGGCTTCCCAAAGTGCTGGGATTACAGTTGTGAGCCACTGCGCCTGTCCTATAAGTAGTACATTATCTTTATCCAGTTGCCTGTTGATGGATACTTAGGTTGCTGCCAAAATTTGGCTATTGTGAATAGTGCTGGAACAAACATAGAAGTGCATCTATCTTTGATGTACTGATTTCCTTTCTTTGGCATATACATCTGCAGTGGGATTGCTGGATCATATGGTACCTCTATTTTTAGTGTTTTGAGAAACCTCCAAACTGTTCTTCATAGTGGTAGCACTAATTTAAATCCCCACAGTGTACAGGGTTTCTCACCAGCGTTTGTTATTGCCTGGCTTTTGGATATAAGTTATTTTATCTGGGGTGAGATTATATCTCATTGTAGTTTTGATTTGCATTTCCCTTATGGTCAGTGATGTTGAGAACCTTTTCATATGCCTGTTTGCTATTTGTGTCTTGTTTTGAGAAATGTTTATTCACATATCCTGACCATTTTTTGGCTCAGATTATTAGATTTTTTTTCCTGTAGAGTTGTTTGAGCTCCTTACAACTTCTGGTTGTTAATCTCTTGTCAAATGAGTAGTTTTCAAGTATTTTCTCCCATTCTCTGGGTTGTCTGTTCACTTTGTTGATTGTATTCTTTGCTGTGCAGAAGCTTTTTAACTTGATATGTTCCCATTTGTCCATTTTTTTTTTTTTTTTTGGTTGTCTGTGTTTGTGGGGTATTGCTCAATAAATTTTTGCTTAGACTAATGTCTTCGAGGTTTTTCTCAATTTTAACTTTTCAAAAAACTAATTTTTTGTTTCATTGATCTTTTGAATTTTTCAAAAAATTTTAATTTCATTTATTTCTGTTCTGAGCTTCATTATTTTTCTTCCACTAATTTTGGGTTTTGTTTGCTCTTGCTTTTCTAGTTCTGTACGATGCATTGTTGGATTGTTTAGTTGAAGTTTTCCCTTTTTCTTCATGTAGGCAGTTATAGCTATAAACGTCCCTGTTTGTACTGCTTTTGCTGTATCCCATAGGTTTTGGTGTATTTTGTTTCTGTTATCATTTGTCTCAAGAAATTTTAAATTTCCTCCTGAATTTCTTTTAACTCACGGGTCATTCTGGAGCATATTGTTTAATTTCCGTGTATTTGTATAGTTTTCAAAATTCCTCTTTTCATTCTAGTTTTATTCCATTGTGGTCAGAGAAAATGCTTGGTATTATTTCCATTTTTGGAATGTTTTAAGACTTGTTTTGTGACCTCATATATGGTCTCTCCTTGAGAATGATCCATGTGCTGAGGAAAATAATGTGTATTGTGCAGCTGTTGTATGAAATGTTCTGTAATTATTTGTTCGATTTGTTTTGTATTTCGTGTAGGTGCTCTGTTTGTTTGTTGATTTTTTTTCTGTTTGGTTTGTTTGTTTGTTGCTGTGAGTTCGTTCGCTGCCGTGCCCAGCCTTCGTTTAATGTTTTCACTTTGGACCAAAGTAGTTTACACACCAGAGTTATAGTGTTATTTTGTGTTTTTGTGTGTTGTTACTATTACCAGTTAATTTTGTAACTTCAGATGATGTTATTATTAATTAATGTTCTTTTCTGATTGAAGTACTCCTTTTAGCATTTCTTGTAGGACAGGTCTGGTGTTGATGAAATACCTCAGCTTTTGTTTGGCCATCTTTATTTCTCTTTATGTTTGAAGGATATTTTTGCTGGATATAATATCATAGGGTGAAGGTTTTTTTCTTTCAGCACTTTAAGTATGTCATGCCACTGTCTCTTGGCCTGTAAGGTTTCCAGTGAAAAGTCTGCAATGAGGCATATTGGAGCTTCATTGTATGTTATTTCTTTTTTTTCCCCCTTCGGCTGCTTTTAGGGTTCACATAATGGCATTTTGTTTAGTATATTTTTGTTAAGATTATGACTATGAAGGAATAAGGGCCTGTAGTATTTCATTATGCTATCTTGCTAATGTGCTTGTATAATTTTATGCCTTAGATTTGTAAAGTATGTTATCTAGTAAGTGGAATAATTTGTTGTTTTTATTTTTTCCAGCTTTGTCTTCTTATCTTACTGAAGACATTTTGCCAGAGCAGGGTCTGCAAATTTCATTCCAAAAAGTGATGCTGAGAAGATATGAAAGATGTTGTCTTGAGAAATTACGCTTAAGGAATGACTGGGAAATTGTGGGTGAGTGGAAAGGGCAGAAGGCAAGTTATAATGGACTTGACTTATGCTCAGCAACTACTCATAACAAAAACTTTCAATGCAATAAATGTGTGAAAGGTTTTAGTAAATTTGCAAATCTAAATAAACATAAGATAAGCCATACTGGAGAAAAACCATTCAAATGCAAAGAATGTGGCAATGTCTCTTGCATGTCTTTAATAACAACTCAACAGCAGAGAACCCATATTGGAGAGAACCCCTACCAACGTAAAAAAGGTAGCAAAGCCTTTAATGAGCGCTCATACTTTACTGACTATAAGAGAATTCGTGTTGGAGAGCAGCATTGCAGATGTGAAGAATGTAATAACGTCTTTAAGTCTTGCTCAAGTCTTGCTATTATTGAGAAAATTCATACTGAAAAGAAAACCTACAAATGTGAAGAATGTGGCAAAGCTTTTAACCTGTGCTCAATTCTTACTAAACATAAGAAAATTCATACTGGAGAGAAACCATACAAATGTGAAGAATGTGGCAAATCCTTTAAGTTGTTCCCATACCTTACTCAACACAAGAGAATTCATAGTGGAGAGAAACCCTACAAGTGTGAAGAATGTGGCAAAGTCTTTAAATTGTTGTCATACCTTACTCAACATAAAAGAATTCATACTGGAGAGAAAACCTTCCAATGTGAAGAATGTGGAAAAGCCTTTAACCAGAGCTCACATCTGACTGAACATAGGAGAATTCATACTGGTGAGAAACCATACAAATGTCAGGAATGTGGCAAAGCTTTTACTTGGTTCTCGTACCTTATTCAGCATAAGAGAATTCATACTGGGCAGAAACCCTACATATGTGAGGAATGTGGCAAAGCTTTTACCTGGTTCTCCTACCTTAATCAACATAAGAGAATTCATACTGGAGAGAAACCCTACAAATGTGGCAAAGCTTTTACCTGGTTCTCCTACCTTAATCAACATAAGAGAATTCATACTGGAGAGAAACCATACAAATGTGATGAATGCGGCAAAGCTTTTAACTGGTTTTCATATCTTACTAATCATAAGAGAATTCATACTGGAGAGAAACCATACAAATGTGAAGAATGTGGCAAAGCCTTTGGCCAGAGCTCACACCTTTCTAAACATAAGACAATTCATACCAGAGAGAAACCATACAAGTGTGAGGAATGTGGCACAGCCTTTAACCACTCTGCACAACTTGCCGTACATGAGAAAATTCACACCTGAGAAAAATCCTACAAATCTGAACAATATGGCATAGTCTTTAATACCTATTCACAACTTCACAGCGGAGTATTTTTACTGAATAAGAGTGTTACAAATGTAATGACTGTCAAAAGTCCATTTACAAACTGTAAGCCTTTGAGTGCACTAAAATGTTTAGGCTAGGAACAATACAAATAGAAAGACCGGTTCAACACCTCCACTGATATCACAGCTCTTCTTGTACACAGAGGAATTTATACTGTAGGGAAACCCTCCAGTTGCTCAAACTTTATTCAGCTTCAAAGACTTTGTATTGGAGAGAAACCCTACATTTGTAATAAATGCAGAAACAGCATTTGTTCAAAAAATATACCTTAGAAAATACCGGAGTGTTCACACTAAGAACTACTTACAGATGCAATAAATGTGAAAAAAATAACTAATCAAAAATTACATCAAAGCACGTCCAAGAATTCACAGTAAAAAGCACTAAGTCACTAACACTTTCAGATATTACTGTAAATCTGAGTGTTTATTATAGAGAATAATCCAAAGTAAAGTTAAAATAAGTAGGAGATTTACCTTTTGGGGAAGTTCTAATTACATTTAAAGTATACCTTTTGGTGCCAGACATGGTGGCTCTTTTCTATAATTGCTGGAGGTGGGGGGATTGCTTGAGCCCAGGAGTTTGGGACCAGCCTGGGCAACATGGCAAAACCTCATCTCTACAAAAAGTAAAATAAAAGCCAGGCTTGGTGGCACATGCCTGTTGTCCCAGCTACTTCGAAGGCTCAGATGGGAGGATTGCTTGAGCCCGGAGGTTGAGGATGCAGTGAGCTGATATCTTGCAACTTCACTCCCGCCTGGGCAACAGAGCAAGACCCTGTCTCAATAATAATAATAACATAATAATAGTAAAGTATACTCTGTGCATTGAAAGAGTTTTAGATTTTTTGAAAAGCACATATTTATGTAATTCAAGTTTGAAATCACTTGATACCATGCCTTCATTTCTAGTGTCTGTGTGAAGGCATGTGGCCTATTGTTGCTACATGAAAGCCGTGAGAGTTTCTTCTATATTTGGGCAGGCATCATTCATCTCCTTTTCTTTGGAAGATTATGGACATTGCATTTTAAGCTTCCTGAAGAAATGTAACTGGAGAGGCTCTTGGTAGTTGTAAGTGATTCATGAGATAGGTCTTCAGAGTAATATTCTCATTATATTTAAGAAAGAAACATTTGAGTTGTCTTTAGGCCATTGTATATTAAGTGATGTGTATCCTGCCACCAGCGTTGACCTATCTCACCTTAGTGTTATGGTTGTGGGTGACTAAAGGTAACAATACAATAGTGGGTGACATGATGGAGTAGTATCTCTAATGATCCCTTCTCCCAGTGGCATTAAACTTCAAATAATTTGAAAAATATTGTTCCCACAAGTTACACTCTCATTCTGTTTGCTCTTTTTGTAATGACAGTGTCATTATTAGGGCTATAATAAAGCCTATATAGGATTATAATCAAAGACCATATATTTCTGAATCTTAAAGGACTATTAACAAAGTTTTATCTTACATTTTTCTTTTAACATGTGACCTCTCTGGCTTGCAAAACATATACATACTTTTAGTTTTGGTTTATATGGAGATAAATATATAAATATATTACTCTGAAGATAATTGTTAGGTGTAAGAAATTATGAAGCAAGTAATATGTTTGAAGTAAGTGCATACCTGTTTTCAGAATAAAAGAAAAATGTTGGAACCAAACATAATTTTAAAAGTATGGATAATTTATTAGCAAACTAGAAACCTCAAAAATGTTGAAGGCAGATCTGTTTTCAATGCTTTGTATTGAATGCATTTCTCTAAAATCTTATTGCATTTTTTTCAGAATTTCCCTGTGAAAATCCTGTTTTTACTTTTATGTTGCTTGTGCTAGAGCTAACATATAATCTTCTTGTTCCAAAATTCATGAAGAATTTCTTACGTGATCTTCTCAGGGATTATAATAATGATTTTATGAAACTTATTGGTGCTTCCAAAATAATCTTAAGATGTGAGTAATTCCACAGTGAGTGTATTTTCATTGTACTTAATTAATACATTTCCATTTTTCCATTATTAGAGAACACTATTCAAGCCAACTTTTTTTTGTTTGTTTCTTCCACTTTTCTGAATTGCAGTAATTGAGTTTATTGACTCTATTGGGCAATTTGTTCAGGTAAACACTTTGGAGGCTTTATAAGTTATAGGGTTATTTTGACATAAAAATGAAGTGAAGAAACATAGGGCAGTGCTAAATATGTAATAGATGCTCCATAATTAGCAATAAATATTCCTGTTGGAGTGAATTTGTAGCTCCAGATAAGAGATTGGAAATCTCCAGGATGAAGGCCTGGCATTGATTCTGCATGCAGAGGAAGGACTTCCGTACCCAGGCTGCACAGTTGACTCTCTCTAAAGAGGAAGTCTGCTTTTATTTCCAAATTATCTCTTTTTTTGTGGTCTCTTTTTCTTTGTTCCCAACTACTTACGTATTCTAGCTCTCTTCCTTTTTTTTTTTTTTTTTTCCTTAAAAACCTGTGTTATGGCTACACTTTCTCACTGTTCTCCACACAATATGTCATTTTATATAGTACTTTGTACATTCTAACAGGAAGTTTAGACTTTCTCTTTTTCTTCTTTTGTTTTTTGGGGTTTTTTTATTTTGTTTTGTTTTGTTTTTTTTGGAGACATGGTCTCACTGTGTCACCCAGGCTGGTGTGCAGTGGTGTAATCTCGGCTTACTGCAACCTCTGCCTCCCAGACTCAAGCAATCATCTCACCTCAGCCCCCTGAGTAGCTGGGACTACAAGTGTATACCCCCACACTTGGCTAATTTTTTTTTTAGTAGAGATGAGGTTTTACCATGTTACCCACGCTTGTCTTGAACTCCTAAGCTCAAGTGACTGACTTGCCTTGGCTTCCTAAAGTGCTGGGATTACAGGTGTGAGCCACACCTGGCCTGGAAATTTGAAATTTTTTAATGTGATGATAGATTTTTGTTGGTTTGTTTTTTTGAGACTGAGTCTCACCCTGTCGCCCAGGCTGGAGTACAGCGGTGTGATCTTGGCTCTGCAACCTCCGCCTCCTGGGTTCAAGCAAGTCTCCTGCCTCGGTCTGCCAAGTAGCTGGGATTACAGGCACATGCCACCATGCCTGGCTAATTTTTGTATTTTTAGTAGAGATGGGGCTTCTGCATGGTGGCCACGCTGGTCTTGAACTCCTGACCTCAGGTGATCCACCTGCCTTGGCCTCTCAAAGCGCTGGGATTATAGGCATGAGCCACTGTGGCCAGCCAATAGATTGAGTTTTAACTGGAGAGTTTGAGGTCATTTATGTGTTACAAAACTGACATTGTGATCATAGCTTACTGCAGTCTCAACCTCCCAGACTCAAGTTATCCTCTCACCTTAGTTCCCTGGGTAGCTAGGAGTACAGCCACATGCCACCACGCCCAGCTAGATTTTTTACTGTTTTGTAGAAATGAAGTCTCACTGTATTTTCCAGGCTGGTCTCAAGCTCCTGCACTCAAGCAACCCCCTATCAACCTTCCCAAGTGCTGGGATGACAGGCTGAGCTGCTGCGCCTGGCCACACACAACTCTTTTTTTTTTTTTGAGACGGAGTCTCGCTCTGTCACCCAGGCTGGAGTGCAGCGGCACGATCTTGGCTCACTGCAAGCTCCGCCTCCTGGGTTCA